CTCTTAAACTCTGGAACACCCAGACCTGGAACCTTAAACTCAACGCCTTAAACCTGTAACCTTAAACTTTAAACCTTTAAGCAATGAAAAATATGAAATATACTTATACTAGTACGGGTGGCAAATGTAATTATTTCTTTATATTAGATATTGCTCACAACATTAAACAAAAGAGAATAGAATCTCAATAGAAATTATTTAATGCTTAGGGTGTGAGGTTTGGGGTTTAGGATTTTAAGTTCAAGTTTTCATGCTTGAATTTTGAATGCCATGAACATTGAGACTAAAAGCCGTCATGAAGTCTAGTAACCTCGAGTAGATTAAGACAAGCTCTGAGATCTGCATGTGTATGAAGTTTGTATCGGCTGAAGTGTTTGAATGTGTTGCGTCATTCGCTTTTTTGCACAATCTAGATGGTATGTCAAGAACGAATGCATGAATGATGAGCTGTATGCTCAAGTGAGTCGTGTACTTCCTGACCGTGCGGTTTTACTACACGCTGAAGGCCTGTCTCTTTTTGCGCAGCTACTGCATAATGAGTCTACCTACTCCACCGCTTCTTTGCAGGCACAATGGGCAAGAACAAGCCATCTCCGCATACCAGGATGACGAAAAATTTTCGGGCTATGGCCACGCCTTCCAAGCGGAACCGCAAGCAATGACGCGCTACACGCGGAGATTAATTCGTGGTCCAAGACCACAAATTCTTTACATCGCTCAGCTTTAAGCTTAAAGTTGCGATATTATCTGTACATCAAGAGACTGTCTCACTATTTAGCATCTTGTTTTCCTTTGTCTCACATTACTACGGAAACCGTTCTTCTTGCTAGGTCTTTACATGTTTCACTTTGGTCAGATGATGAATGGAAAGCATGGTGTTCTGACCAAGATTCGGAGAGTTGTCGCAAGAAAGCTTGTCTTCCTCTTGTTGATGCCTTCACGCGTGAAAAGTCTTTAGTACAAGCGTGGTTGTTTAAGAAGCCTTCTGCAAAGCAGAAGAATTCTGTGAATCAAAGAAAACTGACGCCGCTGTCTGTTCCACGAAAGCACACGATGACTACTTCTGGCGTGAAACGCCAGAAACAGTGATGTCGTCAGTCGCTAAGCGAGCACGGCTCTCGTACAATTATATTCTGACAACTGCTTCTGAGCAAAAAGTAAAAGAAACCAATTGTTATGCTCTCCGCCAGCATAATAGCACAAACATGTTTGATGATGCTGCGTTTGTGTTTGAGGTTACACTTAGTGTTATCCTTTACTTGGTATATTTTTATATTTTAATTTTGCGATCGCGGTATATGCATTCGTTGTCATGTGATTAGCCTGTCAGTGAAAACCTAAGTAATATAACATTTTTGTGTGTATGCGTGTCTGCGCATTCATGATATCAGGCAATAAACATTTCGCAGTCAGCTCTCACGTATGTCTTGATGATAAAGGATGTAGTTTTACAAGAGATTAAAAAAACATGAATATAAGACACAGTCGACTGATCCAGGCCATCAACGTGCATCTAGAGTGGTGCCATCATAAAGCTTTAATATTCAGCTGTATCTATGCGAGTTGCATGCGCCTGGTGGTTGGCTGCTATCAATCCTGCGCAAGCTGTTTCTGCTCATAACTTTAGCGGCGAGCTAGTCTCATCACTCTGCATAGTTTTTGTCAGCTATGCGTTGCCCGGTTTGCCGTGAGGAAGCTCTGACTTATGTACGCTTCTGAGCTTTGTTAACGTTTGTTGCAGCGCTGCTTTCTGTGCAGACGCCGGAAACATTCCTTTTTTGGAGGTTCGTGTGTTCGGAGCACGTGGCGACGAAGAGTGTCCTATTTGTTTCGAGGCGGACTGTATAATAAATAAAGACAGTTTAAGGAGTTTGAATTTGCGGAAGGTCAAGGAAGAGCTGACCGCGCTGTACCCGTGCGGTCACTCCTACTGCGGGCGCTGCGTCGCCCAGCTCGAGGTTCCTTTTGACTTCATGTTGATGCATAGCTTCTATAATTATATTAGTTCTTGAATTTGTTTATGTTAATTTTCGAAAACTGTATCGCTATATTTTCCTTACTACACCTGACCTCGTATAAACAATTAATGTTGTGTCTTACTAAAGAGAACAATGGTTTATCCTAAATATAAATTCGGCAGGGCCACGACGCAACTGGCTACGACCTGAGGTTTTCATCAGTGGAATTACATCTCAGCATAACAGTCTCTTGACAAGGTCATCAAGCCGATCCCGCAGACGCGCAAGACGCCGGACAGCCTAATGCAAATGCAAAGTAACACATTTGACTTTTACAGCTTTACATTATGTTGTCAAGCTTTGTCGTTTATGCTGCTCAGATTAACGAACTGCTGATGGAGGACGAGGTCGTGCTCTTAGACGTGATCATGTATTTTTTATTTTGCATGTAATGATGCTAAGCTTCCAGCAGGTTTGGATCGATACCGGCCGGAAACTCAGATTTAGTTGTTCTTGGAGCTTCAGCTGAATATAAAAATTTTCAGATCAGGTGCGCCTCCGAACTTTGATGACTTCGGCAGATTCATAGAAGCCGAGGCCCATTTTTTTGAGATACCCGTCTTGTGCGCTCGATGAAAGATGTTTTGGGTGTTTTTGTGTCTTGCAATTTAGGTCCTTCAATTCTGGATCGACGACCAGGCCGGACATCTTTTTTTTCACACATCTAATGTAAGCTAAGTAAACTTCATGTTATTGTATTGTTGCAGGCGTGCAGAAATTTTAGTTGCAAACGGACTTCGACAAAGATGTTAAGCAATAGCATTGTTAGCATCATCTGCTTCAAGCATTATGTGTTAAGGAGTCAAGAGGTTTTTCTTATTCTTTATTTGCAAATGTTCCACGTTAAGTGTACGTCAGGTGCCGGGCGACAACGGTCAGATTCTTAGATTCGCGTCTACTTTGCGTGTAATTGGATATAGTATTGTTTCGACGAGGCTTCTTGATCGCCGGTGACCAGAACCTCCCTCCTGCCGAAGAACAGGCGCCAGCATATATAGACCTTGCTTAAGACTTTGTTCTTCTTTTTCTTGTAAATGATATTATTCATATGGCTATGCTAGTTAAAATGATAATACATGGCGGCAAATGTTTAAAATGTATGACAAATTTAAGTAGTTAACTTCAAATGTTATTTAAATGTAAACATACAGATGTACACGTGCAAACTATGTGATATTGACATTGTCGTGTTTTTTATTTCATTATAGCGGATGCATTCTTTTAGTCTTATAGATCTTGCATACTCTTGCTTGGCAGGTGGAAGAGATCGTCCGGACCTGACTTTTGCTTGATCGATATTATGTTGTAAGCTATTGATTTTTTTTAGGCTGTTGGCGTCCCATTCCTATGGCTCGGCCAGGGGCTTAAACTTACACCTACGGATTTTAGGCTGTTTTTGTTCAACACTCAGGTGTTTGGGTGGAATGGGATCGCGAGTTCCTCATCACGCAGAACGAGGCTCTAACTTCTTAAGTTAAGACTCATTTTATTCGAGTCGCCTTCTCAGGTGGTGCTGCTAATCGCCGGCACTGAGCAGTTCTGCGTGTTTGGTTCTTACGCTGTGGCGCCGCCGGCTCCACCGGGCTTCATTGCTCGGTGGAACCAGGCCCGACGAGTGGCGCCGAAGGGCAAATCAATCCCGGACTCTGCCAAGTCTCAAGCTGAGTTTAATATTTTTTTAAACCTTTTTAGTTAAAACCTTATGTGTTTGATTGTTTTGGATGCGCGCTCAGGAGACGCCGGTTGGAGTGAGCGGGCGCCTACAAAGATCAGTATAATAACCTGCAGGAAGTGTACTGGATCGTTATCTCTATTGGATTATGAGTAAGGCTAGATGCAATATATATTAGCAAATCCGCAAAAACTATTACTAACCATTAGGGCTACTCTTAATAAAGTATTTTTTACATTAAAAAATCTCTCGGGCATACACGTTTCAACTTACATATAGTCTGAGTATAGCTATATACAAAGAAAATAATAACATTAATGATTCCTAAACCTTAAACCCTAAACCCTAAACCCTAAACCATAAACCCGACACCTTAAACCCTAAACCCTAAATCCTAAACCCTTAACCCTAACCCCTCAACCCCTAAACCCCTAAACCCTAAACCCTGAACCCTTAACCCTCCTAACCTTAATCTCTATACCTCCTAACACCTATGGCCGCGGCTCAAAGGCCAAGCTTGTAATAAGCTCCCGGGGGCTCACTGCGCGACAGAGGTATGTAAGGCATGCAATACATCGATTGAAAGGATTTCACAAGTTTAGGATGTTGGAGTTGTAGATCTTATATCAAGTACTCAAATTTGGGGGTTAAGAGGGCTTAGGGTTTGGGGTTAGGGATTTTATATTTCGGTTTATAAGAGTTTGGAGTTTAGGGTGAAATCCTAAACCCTAAACCTTTAACCCTACACCTTTTTATTTTGCAGAACTCATCACATGGATGAGATTGCGAGCACGAAGCCGCAGCCGTGGGAGCGAAAAATGCAGTCGCACCGCAGCCCTAAACCCTAATTAAATCTGCCGCCAGAGCATGGTTACGGTTTAGGTTTTTACCCTACATTCCGAGTCCTTATAAACTCAAAAAAAAAATCTGGAGATCGTAAACCCTTATAAACCCCAATATGACACCTCTAAATCTTAGCCCTAAACCCTTTTAGATTCAGATACCCTTAAACTCTTGGTTTAGGTTTCAGGGTTTAGGGACTTGCCAGGCGACAAAAATGAAAACAAATCTGGACCGATTAGGGCTTAGGGTATATGACTAAGTTAGGCTTATACATTTCGGGCTAAACTATTATAACTTTATTATATAATGCTTTTAATATTTGTATTAGTTTTTTTAATTGCACACATGAAACCTAAGCAAAAAGAACCCGAAAGGTCTCAGGCTCATATATATATATATGTATACATATATTGGATTTACATGCAAATCTTTGCATGCTTCGTGGCGAAGAATGATGCAATTCTGAGGTGCGTGCTTTGCAGTCTGTTGAATTGCTGGTCTTGGATGAAGCCGACCGCCTCCTCGACCCATCGTTCGTGTACAAGGTGCAAACGTGTGCAACATGTGGTTTTGCGTTTTATGATTATTGGATTTATTGGGCTGTTGCCCAGCGCCGCAGATTCGAAGCCCAAAGCGTCCCGAAGCTCAGATGCAAAGCATATACCCTGCCTTACCCAAGCAGGGCAAGCGAAGTGATGCCACGCCTATAGCACATGATCTCCACCGGTGCATAACCATGTTGCTTCAGAAGGTGTAGGTCCGCAGCACTCCGAGTTCGTTTATGGTGCCAACCTGTTCCGAGTTTGCCATTCCCCCTTATCCAGGAAAGGTGGTGACTGAGTGACTTGGGAAAGTATGTGCCGCACGGGTCCCGTCATGCACCTAGTATGTGTAGAGGGATCTGCAGAGAAGCGTGCTCACCTTGGCACACGGCCGGGCACCGCCCAATGCAGAGGCGACGTTGCTTGTTTGGCTTAGTACCTGGGAGACTGCTTGCGTCTGCATGCGCCCTTGCGTAACCGGGCCATGTGCTGGCCTTGGAACGTTGTTGGGCTGGGGCGTTCGCGTGAGCTCCAAGTGGAGGGGGCAAGGACGTTTGCGGAGCCCCCGGCATGGCTTCCTGCACGTCCCACCGCGTGCAGCTAGTCGCTTACTCACTCACTCACTCACTCTACTGATGTACAAAGTGTGAAGAGGTCGCAAGTTAAGAGCTGTTTGAAGATGCACTCGCAACATGCGATCCTCGATCACTAACGGGCATACAGGGCTGGTGGGTTCACGGGTAGTCATGGGTAGTCACGGGTAGTCACGGGTAGTCCAGCTGGCGATTTGAGTGCCAGCCTACTTGGCATGCTGCCGAATGAACTGGGTGCAAGGAAGTTGTCCTGAGTCCGTACCTGAGCGTGGAACAACAGCTGCCCAGCTTCGCCAGGAGACTTGTTCGAAAGCACCAGAGCTCAAAACAATTCCCTGCGAGAAATTGTCCCGTTGCCCCTTTCTCCCTTTCTCCTCTGCAGGCGTACGCCTTGGAAGTCAAGCCTGGGTGCTGCGATCTGTTTGTCTGCCTTTGAAAGTAGATCACATCGCACGATCATCCAGAAACGGGTCTACGCCACATGCTGAGGTGGTAAGTTAAAGAGGAACCGGCTCTTTGAGCGACGTGGAGCACGAAAAGCTCATTTGTGGGGCATGCTCGCAACTTCGGGAGGCGTTTGAAGTACGGATCTCGCGCTGAACGCAGCATTATTGTGCGGACGGATCACGGGAACTGTATGGAGACGCCGAGATGCTGCAAGCATTGCGTGCCTCGGGCAGGTTGACTACTTGATCCGTTGCCTTCCTACTCCAAGGTTGGACTTGTCATAGTTGTCCAAGCCCCTGATGGTTCTAAACTGTCAACAGCACGCAAAGAATGAAATATGAAAGGCCTCGTTTGGTGTGATCTTAAGGCTTCCGTGATAGGAGGTCTTGCCTTTTCCAGCAGAACTGCAGGCCTCGAATGTTGCTTTGCTCAGCCACGCTTGGGGCCCAGTTGCCAAACATTTGCCAACCCTCACCCAGCATTGGCCTGGTATGGCCTTGTTTTCAAAGACACATGCAACGACGCTGTGCAGCCTCATGCCAACGTGCGTTTGGTCGGTGCCCCTAATTGGTGAAAACAAGGTTCAGTGAGCCAATTCGGAAGTTTGCCATCCGATCGCTCCGTGCCAACCTGGAAACGACGCATGGTTGCGGTGGCTACACATCACTGGAGTCTCACATGGACGAATTGCTCGTGCAAACATGCAAACCTGAGGATCAGCATTGGATCAAAGGACAGCTTTCGTGTTCGAAGTCTCTTCATCATCTTTCCACCACAAGTCCAGGAGCCTTCTCTTTCCCAGGCTGCCGAGTCCTGAGCTTGCATTGCGCACTTAGGTGTTGCTTTCACCACAACTAACAGCTATTAACTGCTTATGCAGGCGACGGAAGTTGCAACGCCCGTGCACCAGGCATTGATGCCTGGTGATGGCAGCAAGTGTATGCCAGTTTCCGTGAGACTGCACGCATCGGCATGGTGGATTTCGTGGAAGGTTCTTGTCAAGTACAACCCCGGGGAGTTTCTTGCTACGCTCCATGCGGTCTTGGAGCAAGAAATGGGCCAGGAAGGCTCATTGGCATTCAGCACATTGTGGAATTTAGGTGTGATGGCAGTGATGCTGAGAGGTGACATGCGCCGGGTGCTAGTGGTCTTTCCGACGGTGCGCTGGCTGCAGCCTGTTGCCGAGTTTCTGAAACAGAGGGTGGCACAGTAATGGCATAAGATCAGGACAACTTGCACGCCGAGGTTCTTCTATGTCCTTCTGAAGCATCGGGCGAACATGTAGCTTCGATGCGGTTGTGCGAAGAAGCTCGCTTTTTGTTGCTATCGAGTGGCTTCTAGTGGCTGCAGCAGCATCGGGGAATCAGGCCGGGGCTCTTTGCTCTGCATCGCAGCCTCTCGGACGATCGGCGACGTGCTCGCGCACTTCGCTTCTCCAAGGGTGCACGGATCTCAGCAGTGCGGTAGTGATGCGATGCACGCATTGCTGGGATGGGGTATCGTTTTGTAGTGTCGTCGTGTAGTGCGAGGCCCCGCCGATCCGTGGCGCTTTGTTTGCAACTGACTTGGCATCTCGAGGAATGGACTTTGCACGCTGCCCAGCACTTTAAAGCCGGCCCAGCAACTTCGCAGCTTTTGCGTGGTGTCGTTTTGGGCCCAGAGCTGGTGAGGATGTGCATGCTGTCATCCAGGCCTGGGAGCTCAGTGTTTCTGACTTCCAAACTGCCGCGATGCTTTGACATGGCCAGTTCTGTTTGGCTGAGCAGCCAAGCATAGCTAAGCTGGCTGCTTGGCCGAACGTTCACCTCTTCCACTGGGAATGTGGACGGCCTCAAGACCTAACGACAGGTTGGGCCGCCCAGTGACAGGGAGCAGTACATACACCGAGCTGGCCGAACAGGACGCCGATTTGATGTTCGTGCTCTGTAAGAATCCGTAATGATTGTAGTGACTGCAACTTGCATCATGACCTGGCCGGAAGGACGCCTTGCTTCGCAAGGGCGATCTGTGCTTCTACTCAACCCTGTGGAGATGACCGTCCTGCAGGCCACATGTGCCTTTTGCGCTGCCTTCCTCCTGCGCCTGAAGTGTGCGGATTTGGTTGTTCGCAGGAGCTGGGCATGAGCGCCGAGGAGGTGCAGGTGCAGGCTGGATGGTGGTCAAGCTGCAGGTCGTAGCACTACCCTAGCTGTTCCTTTGCGGCTATAGTTCACATTGCTAGGGCTCGAATGGTCTGCGACAATTCCGGGACCATGTCAGACCTTCTCACATTGACCCGTCCGGCCAGATGGGCGAGAGCCGGTCAGCACAGCATCCTCCAAGTATTGCAGAATCAGCTCGGCTCACTTACAGGGCGCCCGCAGTCGGACTCACGGAATCAACGACATTCAACGTGTACCCAAAAGTCCCAAACCCCAAAGCTCCCAATGTGCAAACGCCCTTGAATTCGTGGCAGTTGGTCTACGATGTATTCGACATATGTTTTTCCGGTCACGGAGGCAGCTTCCTCATTCGAGTGTGCTCTGAGCAGCATTCGTGGCTGGTGGGAGGACGGGCACTCTGATAGCGCTTTGTCACTTTGCGTCGACGCGTCAAGAAGCCACATGTCTGCATTGACAGCTGTTGTGCACACCAGGATGCTAGCATGTCGGCTTCGGGCCACCTGTTCTTCGCCAGTGCAATTGCCTTCTACCTGAATGAAAGCCAACGGTTGCGGGTGCCTTGCCTCGAAGCTTTGCAGAAGTTGAGAGAATAAGAGACAAGCTGAATTTCAAGTGCTCGCTCTAGCTGCTTTTGTTTATTTTTGAGCTGTAACTACTGGCTTTAACGCGCATCAGTGATTTTCATTGGTGCTGTGTGGGTTTTGTGCTGGTGCCCGGTGCAGAGGCAAGAGCCGTTGATGTGGCGCAGCTGCCTAGAGTTGACGTTGTTCCTTGCCATGCTTTCGTTTGCAGTGCGCAGCACGCTGCTGTGCAACAGGTGCAGACGGTGGCTGCATTGCTTCAGTCCACTGGGTTACCCCAGGCCCTCTCGGCACCGAAACTCTGCAAAGGGAGAGACAGAGAGAGCCAGCACACGCAGGGTGTTGTTCCCTTCAATCCCAACAGAAGTTCTTACTGGGTTATGTGCGAAGGCAAGAGAGTAAGATCACAGATGAACTGGCACTTCGCCTTGGCCAGGGTTTTAGAGTCTTTAGAGCCTTAGGCCACGTTTCGGCCACGTTTAGGCTTTTCATGGCAAGAGCCGTTCCAAGAAGCCGCCAGGGACAAGCGAGAAACCACATCTCACACTCTAGACCATCAGCCAAATCTGTTTAAAAGGACTACGGGCTTCCTGCGATCCCACGTGGCCTTGCAGCTGCAAGCCTCAGCCGCTGCAATGTGCTGCAGAACCTGTTCAGTCTCGTTCACTCGTTAAAGAAAGTCACAGAAGGGCTGGATTCGGGCTGGATGCCGAGGCAAGATTGCGTGAGAAGGCAGGAGCCGGCGATCGTTCATTTTTCTTCTGACTCTCTTGAATATGCAACTTCTGAGCCAGGATGAGCTCGTGGCGGTTCGCACTGAAACGGTGACTCAGCACGGAAACGGTGCAGTGTTGTCTGAGTTGTCCTTGTGGACCGGTTTCTGCATACGCGTGCGAAGCTCTGCCTGAGAGAACTAAGGTCCGCGAGCGGTGGGACGTTCTCTCCGCCTTGGGGCCAGGAACCATGAGGAAGCCGACGAAGCCTGCAAACGTACCGGAAGCCGACAAGATCGAGGCGTTACATGCACAGCAGGGGGCCGAATCAAAACGGCGCTTGGCATTTGGTCTCGAGAGTTCCCGACATGTCTTGACCTTTTTCGTGGTGCTTGTGTGGTACTTGTAGATACTGGTCGCAGCCACGAGGAACAGAGCATGACATGAAGCTTCATGAAATCAACAGCATGGGAGCATGGGAGCATGAGAGCACGCTGCAGATGAGCTGGAACAGGATGTGTAGCTGTCGCTCCGGGTAGCCTTTGTGATGACGGAGGCGCCCATGCTGCCTTGGCGGGGCGGGAGGTGAATGGTGGGCAATGGTGGACAAAAAGAATGGGCACCTGCGATTCCAGGACAGTCTGTCAGCAATTTGTCGGACGGGCTTCCAGCTCCAAGGCGGCACTCTCAGGCAGTTCCTGCGTTTGATCTTGATCTGGTGGCACTGTATGGCAGAGTATGGCACCGTACGGCGCTGTTCTGGGTCCTTGGAGAGGTGGAAGCTCTGGAGTCCACGAGACCAGGAGTGGCTCGCAGAGTTTGAGGAGCTCTTTCAGGTGCCGGACCCAAGCACATGAGAGCATGAAGGCCATTGAAGGCCTCAACGGCCACAACAAAGCCTGCCAGGACACCTGTGCTCGGCTCCAGGCTGCTCCACCGGCCGGACGTGCCATTCCTCTGCGGATCCACCAGCACCTTGGCAGCCTGGCAAAGAGTCTGGAGTTCTCCCAACAGGTCCCGACATGTCCCGAATTTCCTGATTCTGCAGACGATGGCAGCTCTCAGGATCTGGCTGGGCGACTGCCGGCGACCTCAGCTTTGCGATCGCTTCGCGGCCGATTGGCGGGCACGTGCGTGCCTGAGCTTCCCGAAAGTTCCTAAACCTCGAAAGCTGCGGAGGAAAACCGCTGCCACTGAGGCCACCCGCACTGGGAGTATCGCCTCTGGACAGACGCCGATGCGGCAGGCGAGCTGACACACCCAGGTCTCGCGCAGGCCCAACCTCGGCCAAGCGCCAAAAGCCCAGCGTCAGCTGACGTCAGAGAGCTAAACGAGCAGAGTGTTTGGTTTAGTGACAGTTGCTAGTGACTTATGTTTGCGACATGTTGCGACCTGACTGTACGATATGGCGCGTGGTGGTGATAGGCGGCATATTCTTCCTCAGTCGGAAGGCCTATGAAGCAGCTGAGAATCCGGCAGAAAAGAGCGACATCCTCCGACGGATTCTCAGGAACAGGGCTTCAAGGTGCCTTCGGACAATTGCTTTCAACTCGACCTACTCGTACGTCTTTGCCCTAGGTTTAGCCGTCATCCTTCGTCACGGTGGTCTGTACGTCGACGTGGACACTTGTTGGAGTTGTTGAGAAATTTTTTCTGTTGGAGCCTGCCGAGATTCCCGGCGCTTTCCCTGAGCTTTCTTGAGGACTTCGAGTGCTTGAAGCCACTGGATGATCTGCACATGCGGACTTCGTTTTATTGCGGGCTCTCGAATGCCCCGGTCTTGGAAAGGACCCAGCAAGTTGTGCGGCAAGTGCAGCTCGGTGCGAGGTCGGTGCTGTCGAGGTGAACAACGGCCTCTTCGCTGCCACTGCTGGGTGGGGGGTCTGGGGTGGGCGATCTAATGGGTTCCGAAGCTAGGCCGGCTATGCTGACGGGGTAGCAGGCACCCGCTGGTCTCCTTCCTCTGCGATCATGTGGCAAGACCCTGGCCAGAGTGGGGACAGGAGTCTGAATATTCTGAATCTCAGTTCGAGAGGGACATGAGGGACACCCACACCTCACAGGACGATGTTGATCCTCGAGAAGCTGTTGCTTACCAGCTCCAAAGGTGCGCACCACATAAGCAGAGCAGCGCATGTTGTTGCATTGCTGCATTTGCATCCATTTCCGTGCCAGATCTGGCATGTTGGACCCGAAGTTTCTGGAGCCTCGTGGCAAGGAGTGACGGCCTGGACTAGCACTGTTTAGCGTTATCCGCAGACTGGCTCACCTGCGCGAGGCCGCATTTCTTGCCACCACGGGGCCAGGGTTCTTCACACGTGGCCTCATCAAAGGCTTGCGCCTGCTCAAAGGCTCACAGTTCACTGCAAACAGCGGAGTGCCACTTGGACTGTTTGCACTGGTTTGTGCAGGCCGGGACATGACAGAAAAAGGACCTCTCGGACCTATCCTCATCTGCCCGCCGGAGGCAGAATTACAGAATTATACAGCGAACTCTGTCGGTACAACTGGCATGGACGCTTGTGTTTATGCGGCATAGGCATCAGGCAAAAAATGAACAGGATCAAAAAACATAATCGGGGTCAAAAAGAAAAATAATAAGGATCAAAAAACAAAGTATTTGACTAGGAAAACCACTGTTTTCTCCATATTTGAATTAATATGAAAACCTCTATGTTCTCTATATTTGCCTAGGAGCACCTTTTAATTTCACGTTTTTGCAATATGAAGACCTCTATGTTTCTCTCAGTTTTTTTTAAAAACAGGCACACTTCCATTTCCCTATGTTTAAGTAGAAATATTCTAATGAGGGAGCCAAAGTTATTGAATCCTGTGGGATTCCCTCTCTCGTGCAGGTTATCAGCCGTAGTTGCTCTTGTTCAACCACTGAGCAGTTATGGCCAATCCGAATTCTTCTTCGAGTGCAGACACGTCTGCGACGTTTGGTGGGAACCACGCCATGGCTTTGTCAGCGGTCGGTGAGAGCGCAAGCTTTGACAACGACATTTCATCTATGTCTGATGAGGTCCCTGCCAAGGCATTGCAAGATGCAGACGTCGATGGGCAAGTAGCGCGCTTCGCGATGAGGAGAATAATCGACACAGTGACGCAAAGTACATCATCGCAACCTCGCTCGGTACGATCATCACATGCTGCCGCGGGAGGAAAAGGAGTTCCGCTCCCAGCGCGCAGTGTGAGATTGAGGTCGCCTGCAAGCTCACAGGAACTTGTTTCGTCAAGACCCCAGACCCAACGTCATGAACGCAACTCGCCTCCGGCAGCTGCACGCTGCGAAGGCTTGCCTCCGGCTACCTTCTACATGCGAATTCAATTACCAATGCAATGCGTGGATTGAATAAACGATTGAACGAGGTAAACGAACAAGAGAATGAGTGTGTTAATTACAAACGAAGTGAATTTATGAACATAGTGCGTGAATAAAATAAGCGAAAAACCGAAACAAAGGAAAAGAGTTTTGTACGCGCGTGTCTTTATTATTCTCTGCATACACGTGCCCTTATAAGACATTTTTGCGGTGAATGAACACAGTGAGTGAGTACATGAACACAGTGAGTGCACTAAATTCACGTCCGCGATCACACGCTAAATTTGCCCTATTAATTATTGTTGTAAAATTCTGGGTTTCCGCGCCCCAGGAAGCCCTAAAATTTACAAAATTTGTGAACTTGATAAACTTTGTCAAGTTTATAAAGCCTAATTTGCTTAAGTGCAGGAGGAAGCTTTATAAAATTTTTAGCCTGTATAAATGTTTATACATGTATAAACGTTTATACATGTATAAACTTTAGGGGATTCTGGAATGGTCGAGGCCCTAAATTTATACCTTTTTTTCAATTATTGTATCTTGTTTATAGAGTTTTCTAAAATTCTGGGTTTCCGGCGCCCCAGGAAGCTCTAAAACTTATGAAGTATTTGAAAAAAGATGAAATGTATAGAGCTTTTACAGCCTAATTTGCTTAAGCGCAGAAAGAAACTGACGAGGCCCAAATCTTTATTTTTTATATGCTTTTATAAATATTCCTTTGAAGGGAGTTGTTGCAAAATTTATAAATTCCAGGTTTCCGGCGCTCCAGGAAACCCTAAAATTTACGAAATTTATAAGATTGGTAAACAAACTGTTGAAAAAATCAATAAAGCCAAATTTGCTTGAGTACAGAAGGAAAGTTTTTAAATCTTTATGCATTTCAGAAATGTAAGGGTTTTCTAGAATGGCCGAGGCTCAGATTTTTACCAACTTATTAAATTCCAGAAATTCCACCTTTAGAGGGACAATTTATTACATGTATAAGATATTTTCATTCTGGGTTTCCGGCGCCCCAGGAAACCTAAGTTCTATAAAGTTCAAAAATGACAAAACTCACAAAATATTTATAGCTAGTTTGCTCAAGAACAAAAGGAAACTTTGGCAACATTATAAACTGTATAAACTTTTACCCATTTCATGAATGTAGGGCTTTTCATGAATTTAGGGTCTCCTGGAGTGGTCGAGGCCCAGGTTTTCTTGTACTTGAATTTTTTACATACATTTTTTTTCATGAATTTTATGTGTTTCGTAGATTTTTAATTTCGTATCCTCAAAGGGACTATTCTCAAAATTGTTATACTTTATCAAACTCTCGTTTTCGGCGCCCCAGGAAGCCATAAAGAGTCAAAATTTGCAACATTGATGAGTTTTATCAAATATGCTTAAGTGCAGAAGGAAACTTTATCCATATATACTTTTATAAATTCTAGAAATCCTAAAAAATTCTAAGTTTTTCTGGAGTGGTCGACGCCCAGTGTTTTCTATTATTAGTTTTATGAATTTTGCCTTTACATGAAAATTTCAAAACTTTGCAAAAACTTGATAAAATCTGCAACGTCGCTACTTATATATATATATATTAACATAAATAAATAAATGTATATATATATATATATACAATCTGTTTTTCTCTAGGTTTGAAGAGGAACTGGTTTGTTTTTTGATCCTTATTATTTTTGTGATTCGTTGGGTTTACTTTGTTTGATCCTTATTATTTCTTGATCCATCACCCTGTTTATGCGAACGTGCATTGTTACAGGAGTTGTACAAGCTGGGGCTACCAGGTCTTCTATCCCTTGCCCAACACGGAGCGGGGAAGATCTGACGCAGAGTACAGGCAGGTCTGCGGGGCAGTGTTCACTTATGTGTTCTTCTCTGTAGGTGGCAGTATTGTGACATGTACACAATCGTACGCAAAGCAGTCCTCACAGCGTTCCAGGCGGCCTTGCTCTTTGGCCGTGCACCACTGGCTCAGGCTTGTGATGGTTTGTGTGACGGCTTGTGATTCTTCTGCAGTGCCTCAAACAAACATTCTTTCGTCTGTGCCTTTGGAAGGACGTGGGCCGCAGCCGAGGGTTTGGAAGAGGAGAGTGAGGAAGACCTTCGGAGAAAGGAAGGTAGCACAGCGTTGCTGCGGGCTGCTCGTATGAGACTTGTAGGATAGCCCACTTGAAAGCTCACGTGTGCATGCTGCACCTGATGCCCGCAGCTTTGACGCAATAGTTCTCTTTGGTGTGGAACCCTTCCAAGCTAGCAGCGAGCCAGACTCCAGATAGCGTTGGCAGCTTGCACGCAAGCTTAGCGTCGAACATGGCAGCAACCCAGGTACAATCAAAACCTAAAACCATGACAGGGGAGGCATTGTTTAGTTTCTTCAGCAGTTTTGCGCAAGTCCGGACCTATCCAGCGACAGGCCTAGGCCAGTTCTGTTGGGTCCAGCTTCCAAGCTGCTCACAAAGTTCGGTGAAGGGTTGTCCGTTTGCCCCTGCCAGGTGCTTGGACATGATTGCCAGTCGCAGTGGAGGCAGAAGGGAAGAAGTGGGAAGGAAGGGGGCCAGCAGAGATGGACGCTCGTCGCATAACGGCGGACTGATCTTTCGGCAGATCTCGTTTCCCTGTCTGGTACGCATGGCGCCGTGTGCAGGTTTCCTCGCGTTTTTGAACAGGTCGCGTCAGAAATACGAGGAGGCAGGGCTTGGCAGGTCTCTGTACCGTTGTTGTTTCGACTTGGCTCACAACTTAGCTTTGCAAGGCTCTGCGTGCCCAGAGGGCCCATGAAGAGATCGAGGAGGACGAGGCCCCACCGAACCGGACTCGCTTCTCGGGTGTTGTGACCCTTCAGATCTTCAACGGGCACACTAAACCGGCCAAAATTCACAGCTTATACTACAAGTAGCGAGGCCACGCGTTCCACAAGCGGATCCTTTGGGGAAAGGCTGATGGCTATGACTTGTAAACCCCGCATATCCGTGCTTATCAATGATAGCGGTCACATATCCGTGCGTGTCAATGGTAGCGATTCTTGGGGTTATCGGGGATTTGCTTGCGACTCACGTGTTTGAAAGGTGCAATGTGCGGTTCGTCGGGGTTTAGCTTGCCAAGTTGCTGTTGCTATGACTGGTTGACGAGTAGTCAGTCAGTCGTAGTCCCGAACGGCGGCCAATACCTAAGTTGGAAAGCCATATCGGGCTCGGTGGCTTCCGTCTCTGAGGCCTCAATTTGTTCTCATCACCAAGCGCACGCTGCGTCCAGTACTTTTTCTTTACTACCTGGAGCCTCGAGCCTTCGCCTGAGGCGTCCGAAGAGGCGACTCCAACAGAGCTGCCGCTCCCTGCCTGGAGGCCCAGAGGAGTAGCACTGTAGATCACAGCTCTGCCGGTTTTGCACCTTCAGGGCAGGTTATGGGCACGTGTGGTTGTTAAGTCAACCTCTTCGCTCTCCGGCTGAGTGTACCAGGCATGTAGCTTTTCATCCCCTAGGCCTGTATATGAGCCAGAGCCGTCGGGCCCCCTCGGGTATGAAGAGTCCCCGTTTTGGAACATCCAAACCATTTTGTGGGCACCAGAACCCAAAGACCTAAGGTCTAAGAATCTAAGACGAGTGACAAGCGACAGCGTCCGAAGTGTTGCGGGCATTTTGGGATTTCTGCTTGCAAGGGTCAAGGCAGGGTCACGAAGCGATTTGAGATCCATTCTTGTGGTTATGACGGTTATGACGTGCACACATTGAATTGATTACAAAAAGCCCAGGAAAGTGCAGAAGAAGCGTCTGACAGGCTCGCCGCATTTGCTGAGCCGGTTGTGGTGTCTACGTGCGGCAAGCCCTCCTGGAGTCAAGTCCTAGGATCCGGATGTGTTCAATGATACTGTAGTTGATTCGTTTGAGTTGTGTTGGAGTCGTGTGTGGAAGTGGATGTTGCTGTGCATGGTGATGCGGGTCACCATGGCTTCGGCAGGCACCATGTAGAGGAAGAGTTTGACCGAGAGGTGCGGCTTCAGCAGCTCTGCTGTGGGGGCAGGGATTTTGCAAGGCTTCGCACGCATCACGACGCCTCCCTGGGTAGCACGACTCTGCTACAGTGACACAGATTGACGGGAAAGCCCGCATGTTAAGCATCTTCCATCATGATCAGATCCGTGAAGTTTACGAGGTTTAGACGGAGGGAAGTCCTGGGAAGCAAGCCCAGTCCAAGCTAGCTGCTGGTAACTCGTAATCTGGTGTCGTGACTATGTAAGCAAAGCTGTGTTTGATCGCTGTATTCAAGGCACTCATGTAAGACAAGCTGTTTCCGCATGTGCACAGTAGTTGGGAGGTCTTCATCAGTCGGGGTGTTCGGAACCCGGTGTTCCCAACATAGGGGCAGGTGCGAGCTACTTTACATAGTACTTACATGGTGCTTACGAGTGTCTGCGTATTGCTCACTTGGTGCTTGCATTGTGCTTACATCAAGCTTACATGGTGCTTACATGGTGCTTACATGCTGCTTACATACTATTCAGATGCCGTACAGGTTACAGGGCAGCTCCGAGGCACTTACAACCGACTTTTGTACCCGTGATTTACACCAAACACAACAACACGAGTGTGTAGTTTTCTGGTATGCAGCAATCTGACGTTACATCAAGACCTCCAGTTCTGCTCCTTACATCCTGCGTATATGTGCGTCTACGCAGAGGTTGCCACATAAGCAGGAAGTAAGGCCTTAAATCCTTGTCACATGGAGCGGACACTCCCTTACATATGAACGACACCACTTTACTAGTCACCTCCATCCTCCCTTGACCCAGTGACCTATTTCCTTTGGTCAGGGCGAGCCTCTTGTTCATGCTGCAGAGCAAGTGCCGTCCGCCGACGCAGAGCAGTCTGGCAACGAGGAGGCGTTGTTTTGGGCTCTGCCGCTCGGTCGGTCGACTCTTGTGTTTCACGGGCCCCTGGGCAGGACCAGGCAATTGCTGATCTGCCGGAGGACGCCCAGGCCAGCTCCAATATCCCGGATTCCTACTATGAAGCTGCTTGATCGAACGCTGCACATATGTCGGCTATCATTACCGGCCTTACCGAGTCTTTACCGTATTACCGACCCTGGTCTTCACGCAGAGGTCGCCACTGACAAAGTCGGAAATGGCAAGTGGCCTTGTGTCCATGTTTGCAACATGTTCCCAAAGGCTCGAGTAGTACATTGGCGATAAAGCCCCTTGTTCTGAAAGCGACATGAACAAAGGGAAGGCAGAAAGAACCAAAATGCATGCCGTTTGCTTTTTGTTAGGGGGATGCTGCTGGAGAGCTGCTATCTCTAAGAAATATTCAACATACCCCTAGGGCATACCCCTTAAAAGAAATTAAAGGGCATGGCAAAATCCTCCCTTAGACTCCTTTTAGATTATCCGTTCATAGGTTAAGGAGTATGGGTTTGGGGTATGGTGAGCTATTCTTAGACTATCAGGAACAGCCGAGCTTGAAACAATGTGTGACGTGAAAAGACCTAACAAAATTTCAGAGGGTGGTTGTGGCAAGACAGCCTAGTCACGGTCTTGGCTCTAAGACAATTTGAGCTTGAATTGCATAGGGCTTTCTTTTGGCCAGGGCGAGCCTCTTGTTCATGCTGCAGAGCAAGTGCCGTACGCCGACGCAGAGCAGTCTGGCAACGAGGAGGCGTTGTTTTGGGCTCTGCCGCTCCGTCAGTCAACTCGTGTTTCACGGGCCCCTGGGCAGGACCAGGCAATTGCTGATCTGCCGGAGGACACCCAGGCCAGCTCCAATATCTCGGATTCCTACTATGAAGCTGCTCGATCGAACGCTGCACATATGTCGGCTATCATTACCGGCCTTACCGAGTCTTTACCGTATTACCGACCCTGATCTTCACGCAGAGGTCGGTACTGACAAAGTCGGAAATGGCAAGTGGCCTTGTGTCCATGTTTGCAACATGTTCTCAAAGGCTCGAGTAGTACATTGACGATAAAGCCCTTTGTTCTGAAAGCGACATGAACAAAGGGAAGGCAGAAAGAACCAAAATGCATGGGGATGCTGCTGGAGAGCTGCTATCTCTAAGAAATAATCAACATACCCCTAGGGCATACCCCTTGAAAGAAATCAAGGGGTATGGCAAAATCCTCCCTGAGACTCCTTTTATATTATCCTTTCGTAGGTTAAGGGGTACGGGTTTGGGGTATGGTGAGTTTTTCTTAGACTATCAGGAACAGTCGAGCTTGAAACAATGTGTGACGTGAAAAGACCTAACAAAATTGCAGAGGGTGGTCGTGACAAGACAGCCTAGTCACGGGCTTGGCTCTAAGACAATTGCATGGGGCTTTCTTTTGGCCAGGGCGAGCCTCTTGTTCATGCTGCAGAGCAAGTGTCGTCCGCCGACGCAGAGCAGTCTGGCACCGAGGAGGCGTTGTTTTGGGCTCTGCCGCTCGGTCGATCGACTCTTGTGTTTCACGGGCCCTTGCAGGACCAGGCAATTGCTGATCTGCCGGAGGACGCCCAGGCCAGCTCCAATGTCTCGGATTCCTACTATGAAGCTGCTCGATCGAACGCTGCACATAAGGTACGGGTCTTCCAACACCAATGTGGCACTAGTATAGCGCTAGCTTCGCTCTAGCACTCAGTGTAAGAAGTGTAGTGTTCTTGAACACAGAGAAAGGTAAGCATTGTAGCATCTGCCATGAACGGTCGCCTGTGGGAAGAGCCACAGCTCAAGAATGGTGGCCGTCCAGATGACCCATGTTGTTTCGTATCCAAAAATGGCCAGGATCTGCAGCAAAGACAAAGCATTGCTCCCAACCCCGTTTTTGAGCCAATAAGGTTGAAACTGAACGTCAACCCTTAATACGTTATTCTATATATTTTTCTTTTGTAGAATACTCCGCCGTGTTTGCTACGAAAGCGTGGGTTTTAGATCTACTTGCTCGTCTCCAGTATGGGAAGCCTTTTGTCATTTTGGACATGAGAGGCGGCCACCCAACTGCACACATTCCGTGACATATCTTGAATGAGCAGCATTTTTGAAAAATGACCATATGTCGGCTATGTGGAAGTCATCATATGCTTCTTGTCCCAAGTGGCACGAAGAGGCCATGAAAAGGTGTTCGCGTGCAAGGTACTAAACGAGGCATTGTTAGGTTTCGGCAACGAGGCGATAAGAGACGGCCCTGAAATCTTGAATTCGCATGGACCTCCAACGCAAGGGCTCCAAGTCCCCGCAACCAAGTGACATCCCGTCAGTTGCTGAACGCTTTCCACGCCTCGGTTGGAGCCACTTCCCAGGTTGAGGTTCTTGGACCGACATTGGCCGATCCCGAGCAGTTCGACGATGAGGTGCTTCAAACCGATCCCGGTCTCATTCATGTGCGAAAGAACGTGTGGGTCAGGACTCCGTAGAGGCCGAGGGTGTGCCGCTGGAGAATGTCAAGGCACACTTGGCAAAGCATTTGCCCTAGCCAACTCCTTGTGTGTTTTTTGCCTTTGAGAAGGGCACGCGGGCGAACAGGTTCTCAATGTTCTCAGCTCGACTTCCGAGGCGCCGGAAACGTCTCGAAGCGCAGCTCTTTGCCGTGCCCGGTCGCCGCCGGAGGCGTCGAGATCATTGATAGAACATATAGAACTGAGAGGAGAGTACAGAAAACAGAACAGAAAACAGAACCATGGGTCAAGAGGGTGGCGGTGTGTCGTGCGAGGAAGGTGGCAGATTCCTGGCCCAAGGGCTCGGAGACGACTGCGGATCGTAAGGAGGGCAAGGTCAGCTCGTGCAGTGTTCGATCTCCAGTGCCTTGCATCCTGCCAGATGCAAGTTCACGTAGACGTCAGGATCTGAAGCAGGAGGTTCCGATCAAACATGAGGCCTGCGAAGTATGCGCTGTCACCGAGCCACTGGTGAACTGCACAATCGCTGCGCGAAATTACAGTGCTTTCCGCTGCAGGAAGCCAGGCCACCGGCGGTGAAGCGCGAGCTTTCTGGTTTTCCCTCGGAGCGGGGCTTCGCCCCAAGCCCTACGCTCGTTGTTGTTTGGTATTCACTCAGATGCTGACTGCTGATGGTTATGCAAGAACCTCGCTTGCGGCATTTTGCGGCTATTGCGAGGCGAGGAGGATGCACATTCAACCCTCTTAAAGCGACGCAGACAAGGCCGAGAGTCCATCAGAGAGAGGCAGCCACGGACACCGAAAGTGAGAGTGGAGAGCCGCCCACAGCCCGAACACAAGGAACACGGGGGATCACCGAGGATTGCTAAGGAGCCCACAACCGCAACTCCCGAACACGGGGATGATCAGACCGAGAACCACTTGGCCGTCTTGGCCGGGTTCCCCTCACGGGGGGCTTCGTACTGACCCGGGATCTGGAGCGCACTTCGGTGCGGCCGCTTCGGGGGATACTACGCTGGCAGAAGGGATAGATAGAGAGCCAGAGACAGAGATTGAGAGATACAGAGGCAGAGTAAGGGTGAATGGACCGCCTTGCAATTTCCAGGGCGAGTCGGGTCGTTTTCCCTACTTCTTTTTGCAAGAGTTGATGGGTGGCACGGGAAGTTCGCCTCTTCTGATGCGTGCGTTGTGCACTATGCTGAAGAACTCGATGTTCGCGCGGCGGGGATTGTGATTTTGGACGGTGCATTTCCCGCAAAGTGTTTTCCCAGGACATGGAGGTCCCCGAAGAGAACGGACAGACCAAGCGGAAGACAAAGCCGGGGCAACTTAAGGAACTGGAGCAAACGAACAAGCTGCTCGCGAGCTCTTCAACGCTTCGGAGTTGTGTCCGAAACGTCAATCACAGTCTCCACTCCGAAGGCACCGGCAGCATGTCGCTGACGAGACCAGCAGTGTTTCTCAGAGGTCTGAAGCCTCCAGTGTACAAAAGCAATTCTTGGGTTTGGGCATGGATGCTCTAGGAGGCAAGAGTGGGGGCAGACCGGAGGGGGATGGGGAGGGGGGGTAATTCGGCTTCCAACAGAGCGGAACCCTAATTGCACGGAGTTAGTTCTATATGAGCACCTGATGACAAGAAAATGACGTGAAAGTGGGATCCGGGGGCACTCCAGGTTTTGACTTTAGGGGTGACTGGGTGGCTTGGTTGTGCAAGTGACTCTGCCGAGCTTCGCCAGGGATGAAGCACGATTTCGAGTTCCAACCGTAGCCATTAATTGTGAAACAAAGACTATTTTGTATCACAGAGGGAGAGGGAGATAATGCTTCCAGGTGACGCGAAGAGGGAAGTGGGCGACGATGGATCCGAGGGCAGATCTGAGGCTCGCAGCTGCAGATATGAGCAGTGTGTCCATGTGTGTCCTCGTTTCCAACACACTCGGACCCTCGGCATTCATTGGCTTGGCTTTCCTCCCGTGGTCTCGACTCGACGTGGATCGCCCACTGTTGCATGAACATCACAGTAAGGCTGCAGGGAGGACCAAAACTCGCACACGGGGTGAGTGTCTGTGTGTGCGCGCCTCTCTAGGCTCGACTGTTGCTTCGAAATTCCTTCGGAAAGGCGAGCGATGTGGTGGGACCTGCAGGAGCTGCAGGAGGCCGACACATCCTTCTTGCATTTTCGCCTCGTCGCTTCCGTTCGGCACCCTGAGGCCGCATGATGCGGGGCCTCCCACATGCCGATCTGCTACGCTTGGCCGGCCAACTGGAGCCACAGCCTCAAGCTCCAAGTCTGCCAATTCGAATGTTGTTGAAGAGACGGCGCTGAATCGTTCGCTGCAGTCCCTGTGGTCGCTGTGTGAGGCATCGCTATTTGGGAGCTTCCGAGTGGCAATCCATGGCTGTGGCTGCATAGGCTGCATAGGGCTTGTGGAGATCGATGCTAATGCTCTTGTACATCAGTTGCACATCAGTGCGATTCAGCGGGTCGGGGGCAGCCAGATGGTCTTCAGAAAGCACAATCTAGAGAAAGCAATTCGGCGTGGCGGCTTTCTTGTGGTTCCTGTGTCCAAGACCTAAGCTGAAGCAGTGCCCAGCACTGCATCTTCGGGCTGCTATGATGGAACTTCGGTAGATTCTAGATTCGATCTGCGCTGAATGCAAAGCACATCGAAGCACCATCATAGTCTCTGCTAGACTTTGTGCGTCTCAGACTTGTGGACTTGTGCTTTCGGGCTCACCTCTCGGGGGCTGAGGTCAGCTGCCAGAAAAGTGAGAGTTTTGTTTTCACTTCGAAGTGCCTGAACAGCCCAAGTAATCCAAGTATCATGTCACTGTGACGGATCACGTGACATCGCGCCCTTGACCACCGTGTGACCGCTGGCAATCGAGTGCTCAGACAACTTCGAGAGCCATGGAGGATGACTACGCCCATCCTTATGAGGCCTCAGCTGTCCGAGCCCGGAGCCGGAGTCCGGCGTAATTTTCAGATGTTCTCAGGACTCCATCGAGAAGTTTACAACCTACGAGGACTACTTGGACAGTCAGATCACGCCCCAGGACTGCAACCCTCAATCACAAAGCTGTGAACAATCTCTGAATAGTTTTCTGAACTGAAGGACCGCTTCTACCTGGAAGAAGACGAGCTCGCTAGACAGCTTGTCGAGATTGGTTGCAGGAAAGGGGAGGCCCGCCCTGGAGATCACATGGCTCTCATGGGGTCACGGGCCCATGGGCTCACTGATATCTTCATTTATCTTCTATACTCTTTTCCCTTGGTCCTTGCCAGTCCTTCCTCTGCCTTCGCTTTTGCTCGTTGGACTCTGAACAGCTCCCCTCTGAAGGTATTGACGAGGGAGGATTTTGCAGCAAGGCGAGAAGCAGCCGAGAATGCAAAGAAGGCGAGGGGATTCTCCTGTGGCCTTTCAGATCCGTGCCGCTTGCAGCACCCTGGCAAGGCGCGTTTGCAGAGCGCGCCGAAGGCCAGACTTTTTTTAATTCAGAATATGGCAGATGTCTTGGCTAGCAGTCGGAGAAAGAGCACTCGTTCGAAGCAGGTTCTGGCAAGTGCGCAGAAAAAGCTGACGGACTTTCCAGTTCTTCGACATCTTGCATGTAGGGAGGCCAGTGTTGGCTCTCCACAGATATGGCTAGTTTGTGCGAACTCATGTCGAAGACACATTGATTTTGGGAGGAACTGGTGCGCAGCGGTAAGCTCAGCACCATCATCTTCATCCGCGATAAAAATCATCGTGGGCAGGACACGAAGCCATGGCTGCAGTAGACGATATTCCATTGAGCGCCAGCAGAATCCACTAACATTCTTTGCCCCCACTTGCCCCACCCTCTTGCTTTTTCCGGAAGAGCTAATGACTGTTGCCCCACTTGCCCCACTTTGCTCGTGCGGAAGAGCTAGTTCATTTTCCCCACGCGCCCCAGATCAGCCAACCCCCCCCCCCCCCCCCCCCGTTTGCCTCACGTTCCCACATGTACGTTGGGCAACCTCCCCTCGACACCGCAAGTGGGGCAAATGGGGCAAGCGGGGCAAGTGGCAGAAATCGGTTAGGGAGCTAGGGCGCGTGGGCCAAGTGGGGCAAGTGGCAGAAATCAGTTAGAGGCGCTGGTTTCCACGCGCGCTGCGATATTCCGAATATTCCTCAATGCCAGGAGATCTCTGGCTACATTGACTATGGCCACCGTCTCAAGACTGAGAACTTCGAGCCGCACTTGCCCCAAGCACGAGTGTCTTGCGAACTCCGAGCTCTTCCCGCTAGTCCACGTCCTCCCCAGGTACTTCGAGCGCAAGAAGCGCCTCCTTCCCAAGTCGCCTGATCCTTGAGACTCGGATAGTGGCACCTGGGTCCTATTCTGCCTGACAGTGACCACGTCTGAGGTCGGACTTGTCATTCTACAATTGGGACACGCAGCACTCGACTTCGAACGAGAGCCCCAACTTCCAGATACTGCCGGATCACGAGCAGGGTCTGCTCTTCAAAAACAAGCGCGACCGCAAGGCGCACTGACGTGTGGGTCGTGATGGCAAGCGGATTCGGCGTAGACTCAGCTTTTTTCGGACTTGCCGTGGGATGCTCAGGTGCTCAGCGTCGACCCAAGGTCTGAGCCTGGCGACAACTCCAAGCGGCTTGAGGCCCCTTGCAATCGGGCAGACAACGGGGAACTGGGAGCACCTCCGGGGACCAGCAGCCTCGATAGGTCCCGACTACGGAGTACATCCAAGCTGCTTGGACAAATTAAAGTCTCAGCTGGTGTACGCTGGTTCTTGAACGCAGTCCAGAGCTCGGTTAAAAGGTAGTTATCTTTGACCATATGACGCGAAAGAAGAGCTGAAGCGTGGCTTCCAAACTTTGTCCCCGTTTCACCTTCAAACAAGTATGTCTCACCTTCTTCACTACCTCCACTCGTTTCAGAGCGGAGTGAGTCGAATTCGACTGCAGTGCCAAAGAAGCTGCCTCACGCCACCCATGCAAGCTACTCTAGCTACAAAACTCCTGCTGCTCTTCGAATCCCCAGTGGTAGGCCATCCTGGCCCGAGGCTACGGTCCAATGGTAACAAGTCGCCATCAGAAACATGGAAACATGCCCAGCCCCACTTGACGAACGTGACACAACGTGACTCAACCAAGAGGAGACAACCCCAGCTAGCTCAACACGGCAACCATCAGCAGTTATCATGTTGTCCAGAGCTGACAAGATGGATTCGCCTGCACCGAACCCGGGAAGGCACCAAAAACTAGGATCCGCTTCAACACAAGTCCAATTACCCGCCCATACTGTGCGAGGCGGTGGCTCCTCGCCTGCCTCGTTCTGGCACCTTTCCCAGAGTGCAAGAAGGGCGGTCCCGGCTGCTCAGCGCGACCAATCTCGACAACACATTCGCAGGTCGTGGCTTGGCATCAGAGTGCCGAGGGCCTCGGCTTCGTGGGCTCATTCCAGGCTCTCGCAGCAAAACGGCTTGGGAGCTCCGGCTCGTCACGCGTCGTTAAGCAGATCTTGCAGGCCGACAGGGACGCCCAGGTTGCAGCCATCGCCCGGAGGGTGTACCCTGCATCGCACAGTGGGAAGAAGCTCATCATCAAATTGCCGAAGGCCAGACTCCCGAGACGACAATAACTGCATTGCAGAATGAGACTCGCATGCCGAGACAGAACTATGCGAACTATGCAGGCTCTTGGTTTCCAAACGATGGCTGACGTCCCAAAGGCAATTCTCTGCTTGAGGCGAAAGCTCTAGCAAGTGCAGCTGTCCTTGCAGGAGTCTGTGGTTCAGCCGCTCGAGCTTACGCTAAAACACCAGAAGTTGAATTACTGGGCCGCTCGAACTTTCAAGTGCCCTGCGGAGCATCGCGCGTGCTAGGTCAGTGTGCACAGTGCACTTGTCCTAAGGAGCTTTCCAAGTCCGGTTACAACGTGAGCGAGGCTGCTCCGGGGTGTGAGCTCCCTCGTGAGATCCTTCCAAAGTTCTTGGAAATGTTTGAGGTCTTCATCCGCTTCCCAGGAAAGACACCGTGGAAGCGCATTGGCGAGGCCTTTCCGTACTTCCCCCCCCCCGCCTCCCTCCCTACCCCGTGGCTCATGGCAGCTGACCCAAGCTCGACGCATTTCCCCTGGTCTCTGAAAGTGCTTCAGGTGGCCCACAAGGAGGGTGACTTTAGGGAAGCAATCAGCTGCCAATACAACTCCTTGATCAGACGCCCGCGCCTTGTCTTGCAGCGTCTTGCAGCATCTTGCCACGGAGGGCGGGGTGCCATCATGGTTTCAACAGGCGCGCACTACCTCTACCGCAAGTTCCGCTTCTGGTTCCAGAAGTCGACCCCGGTCCGGGAGCACAGCAAGCCGTGGACAGGGAATCACTGCTGGCTGAAGGGATTCGAGAAACTGTGTCCGGCCTTTGGCCCAGGCGCAGCTCGGCTACACGGACACTGAAGGGCAGATTGTTGCTTGGACCTGCATTACACTGCGCTTGCCGGGTTGTATAGACGGATAGGAACTATGTCACTTTTTTGAGAGCATCCCGTGAGCTGTGGTGAGCTGTACAGGTGGCGGTCGACGACGGGCCGCCAGAGCTCGGTGTAGAACCGCAAGAGCTCAAGGCAACTGACACATCAGCTTTCGCTTTTTTTTGGGTGATCTCGTTCTGAGGGAGAGTTCTGAGAACGTTGGAACGGGCGGCTTCAGCGCAGGCAATGATGCGACGAAGCGGCTTCCTTCCTGGAAGAAAGCCGCTGCATTGGGTGCCGACGCGGGCGGCTGTAAAGGGCTTGTATACCTCAAAGAAGGACAGCTCGCACCAGTATCAGCGGGTGGGCGTTGCCGTGCAGTGTCCCAGTGCTTATATTGGGAATGCGAAGGACCATCACAGACAGAAGGGTTGGCTCATGAAGCGGAACTTCCAGCAGAGGCACGCTCTGCGAGCTATTTGTCCAAGTTGAGTGCTGCTTCTGCCATGGCTGGTGCAGGATTGACGCTCACAAGTGGCCCAACACTTAGGAAGAGCAGGGTGGTTTTGGTAGCATGATTCCATGCCTTGCCAAGTCAAGGTGGAACCCCAGAAAGTATCGCGGGCGCTACATGGAGGTTCAGACAAGGAAGAGGGGCATTGAGCCAGCCTCGGATGACACCACCCGCCACAATGCCGAGACTGTCTTGCAGATTGCATCAGGTCACGGGAACGGGCCCATCAAGATGACACGTTCGCTTCAGCTGCACCTGTCAAATGTTAAGAAGTTAAGTGAGTCCACTCAGAGGCAGCGCTGCCCTGTGCACTCATGGTCTCACCACCAGTACGGAAGAGGGCACGTGCCCAACATTGCCCAACCAATCTGCTTTGGCCAGTGGCCTGCATCTTCTGCACATCCACTTGGGAAGCTCAAGCCGTCCAAGGCATCGCATGTTCGCTGGCTCACGCCTGGCTCGAGCTGTCAAGGCTGCATGAAGTCTTCACAATGTCACCTGCCGTGTCTCGCAAGGCGTATAGACGATAAACGCAAAATTTGTTTCTGTAGCTGCGATTACTATTCTTACTCTCACGTTGTTGCAATGGCCGTAGATTCCGTAGATGCCCTATCGGAAAGGCGCGAGGATTGCTGTGTAAGGTTGTGCAAGACTGGGGTTCCTCCTGCTCTGACCGACAAAGGAATGCCATTCGCCAAGGTGGACAAGGCCCTCAAGGCCCTGGACTCCCGGACATGAAACGAACGACGTAACGACGAGCTAATTGATGCTCATTGATGTGGCCTCTTCAGGTCCCGACCTTCGCGACCTTCGCGACGTCTCGGTGGCCATGAAGATTCTGCTAGCTGAGCTCCAGTGCATGTCAGTGGATGCTCAAGGTCCCCTTCTCAGGCTTCTACTAGCACGCACTAGCACACGTCAGCCCGCAGATGTGTGTAGGGGAACGTTCAATGAAGGCAATGCTCGTTGCTCCCCCCCCCCCCCCCCACACCCGGCCGTTGCTCCTGCTTGACAACCCCTAGCACAACACACCATCCAGTGCATCCACGTCACACAGGCCCGTGTCTGGCCAAAAGTGGATCCAGTATTGGCTTGGCGCAGCAGTTGGCACACGTTTGTCTGTTGTGGCATACAGCCCGCGATTCTAGGAAAGTTGGCCTGGTCATCATTTGGATCAAGGGTGGCCCTTCGCGTTCACCACACATCCCTGGACTTGATCTTTCGCATGCGACAGACAGACGTCCAATGTACGTAAGGCAGTTGCCAGCATCCCTTGCCAGCACAAGGTCGTGTCGTGTGCACAAAGTTGCACCAGAAGCTGAAGCACGTGTGGCTTCAAGGATACATACTATGCTCATCCCTTGGCTTCTGCCGCATGGCAGCATATGGGCCCCACAGATTCGCAGTGCATCAGGCAGGGACGGTGATGACGTCGTGGACCTGGGTGACGGTTCAGCAGTGATGAGCGCGAGACCCAATAAGCATCACAGTCAGGATTGAATCTTTCGCCTTCACGACGTCTGCACGATTGCTCTGCGTCTTGCCGCCTTGGCCATCTTGTGCACCAAGGCTTAGACGTGGGTGGTCTCATTGCATCGAACCCTGATGCGAATGCAGTGCTGCAGGCGTGCCACCATCTACAACCGATAGAATGCATCATGTCAATCGTACCTTTGTACGCTGGAGGCAGGGCGCTACGTCTCGTGTGCCCAAGTCCCAGATGGCAGAGCCGTTGGGCATGCTCATGGTCGAAAGTGAGAGCCAGAGGTTTGTGCGGTGGAGTTCCATCCCGAGGAGAGGGGTATAGCCACAAGAAGTCTTTGATTGTGACAGTTTTGGTGACATAGGAGGGGCTTCTGGATCTACACGTGGACAGCGCGAGTCCATTGGACGACCCAGGCCCGCTCGGACTCTTAAGCTCTTACTGAAAGCAGAGTCGTAAAGCTCAAGTTGTTCATTGGGCATGGCACGGCACATGGAGGTGACTCGTTGGCAGAGCCCTCTTGGTTCCTCGAGGCCTGTCTTGCATGTTGGTTCAACTCAAGCCTGGTGGACACCTTTATGCTTGTATTGTTTGCCCTGCACAGTGCTTTGGCAGGTCGCCCGGTCTCATCAGCTACGAAGCGCGGGTGTTGCACACACCTAGATGCAAAAAGCCGAGCTGATAGCTTGACTCCGCTTGCGCGTGGGAAGAAGAGCATTCCGCAAGCCTTCGCTTGTGCGGAGACCCCCTGACTGGCAGGAATAATGGCTCAGGCGAAACACGTCCGTCAAGAGCGTGAAAAAGTTGAGAGAGAAGCCAGATGCAACGGATCAAATGGGGACTTGCTACCTCCGGATTGAATGGGACGTACTTGGCCATGATGGGTATGGACACCCCTGAGGACAGAGCCGGAATCCCAAATGTCCCTGTCCGTGTCTGTGGACTGCTAATGCGCAATCTGCTTGGATATCCCCAGGCGGGCAAGTTGCTGGCAAGAGCTCGCCAGCTTCGCCAAGACCTTCAGGAAGGGGTCACAGCATGCCATAGCATGAGATGCCGGGGGCCGGCCAGGGGCCGAGGCACCCAAAGTCTTGCGGCCAGGTGCCGGGGAGCGGAGCGCGGGCATCAACCCAGCAGCTGCGACCTCAGCATCTGTGAGAAGGAGGGATTGGGGGATTGGCCGAGCAACCGAGATCCTCTGACCCTCTTCACTTGTTTGTCGGCAGCTTGTTAGCATGCGGGCTCTCAGAAATCTTAGCAATGAGACCTGAATGATCATAACTTCATAACTTACATGACACATTGCGCAGGCAGGATGTATTTTCAACGCATCTCATCAAGGCTTCTTGTTTCTGGGCCATGGCGATACCGGCCGCAGGGATGGCACTGGCGCCACCGGCGGGACCGTCGCGACTCGCAGGCGCGTTGCATCTGATGTCTTAGCATTGGGAAGACCTCTCCCTGAAAGGCTCAGCACATGCAAGTCCAAACTATGGCAGCCACTGGCGTTGGCTCCCTCCTCGTCCAACTGCTGGAAGGCAGCACTTGCGCTCAAGCTGCCTGCTAGATGCTCGGCACAGATAGACATCATGTCTTTTTCTGGTGACGTTTAAGCTGGCAAAATGGATGGCGGCTGGACTGGAAGCCATGCAAAGTGTCAACAAAGCGGCAGGTGTGCAGCATGGCAATTCGGCAAACTCGATGCCGTCAGCTACATGTGCGTGATGAGGACCTCGCAAACAAACACTCAAAAGCGAAGCCAAGATACATCGAGCGCAAGATGTCTCTTTGTTTTGGACATGTGCCCTTTTGTAAGTGCAGGACAGGGGCAGATGCTCTGCGGAAGTCATGCTCAAGCCTCTGAAGTTCTTGCTCCTTCCATCCTCTTCAACCTCTTCAATCTTTGCTCTCCCCCCCCATGCTCTCCCCCATATTCGAGTCCCCAAAAGCAAATAAAGCAGAGTGGCCCAAAAAAGCAGAGCCTTCTCTCATCAGGCTCGACTTCGAGCGCAAGGGCTTCCTCAGGCTCCCAGAGATTCTGTCGCCAGATGCTCGAGTTGCAGATTAGCAGCGAGCAGTCTGCTGGCAGCTCTGAGTTTTCTGTGAGTCTTACGTGTTTCGGGTCTTATATGCGGGGGTTTCGCGGAATGTGTGAATCGTGAGGATGAAGTCGCTGAATTGAGCGAGCTTGTGGGTGCCACCAGCAGCAGCCGAGATGCAAGTTCCAACCATGTCAGCACTTGGGCGCTGTGCTATGCGCTCGGAGTTTCAGGAAGCTTAGGCTCTGACGACTGCATGCTAGAGGCGCTGCGGCATCAGATCAGGGCTGCGTGCCTGCATATGCCGTGACGTCCAGTATCCAGCAATTGCATCTCGGTGTTGCCATGCGTTGCCTAGGTACAATTTGACACCAAGATCGCTGCTTCCTGTCACGATGCTGCAGCTTGCCGGGCCAAGCTGAGAAGCTTGGAGAAGCGTCGGCGCCTGAAGGCTGCAGAGCCTCCACTTGTGCATGCGCCTTTGCCTTCTGCTTCGGGGCTCCGACGGTTCCGAGGCGGAGAGATCAGCTTCCTGCAGTACTTTAACCTTCATCGCCACAGCCGAGCCCTCCGGGAGGTCGCCATGTCCCCACGTTTTGCCTTCTGGGCTTCGCGGCTGCTGGGAGTACCAAGGGTGCGCGGGGTACCTGGGCACTCCCGTGGCACCAGTGGCACCAGTGGCACATGTGGGTTTTGCCTTCATGCTGGGCAGATCCAGAGCTTGAGAGGTCTCTACCAGGATGCCCTCTTCGAGAAGCGCCCCGGTGCATGCCTTCAACAACCAAACTCATTTAAGCTCGGGGCATTTGGCTTCCAGTTGAGGTGATGGGGCCACAGAATGGCACTCGGATTTGGGCCTGGCACCGTTCGATACCAACAGCCCCTCGACAATGCTGTAGGACTTTCCCTGCCTGCGCGACAGCTTGATGCCAGTACTGAGGCTTTCTGACAATCTGGTTACCCTTAACACCTATTTCGCCGAAGGGCTCGTCGCTGGTCTATGCCGTTGGCAGCCACAAAGACTTTGTGCTCCTCTCAATGAGGGACCTCCTCTAGACACTAGGCCAGCCATGCCAATAGCTCAGAATGCATGGCTGAGGCGCTTCCTTTTCATGGCAACATGGATGAAGACCTGAGCGGCAGATACAAAATCCAACGCAGTCGACTCAGCATTTTTCTCACAGGCAGCCTGCATAGTCCTGTGGGACTTCCCTGGTCCCCAACTTGTTCCCCAACTCAAGCTCGAACTTTGCAACGAACCGGACTGTCACCATCGTGAACTCGCACATTCCACTCGGGGAGGCCTCCATCTGATCTCGTCGCAGAATGGTGTTACGACCTGCAACCGAGGCACTGGTGGCATATTGCCTGGGGACGCCACGGTGCACCACGGGTGGACGCTGCACAGCGCGGCTGGCGCCACGAACACTGGCCAGGCTGCGGGCCAGAAGGGCCCACAGCCCCGGCTGGCCTGGACCCTGGGCTTTGTGGCTGACGGCGCCCGCCTTCGCAGGAATGCTTTCGAGCTCCAAGCGGAGGATGCGGTGTCATATGAGGCTTGGGCCAGCGAGCTCGGTCCGGGCGCACGCGTGAAGCATCCCATGGTCCCGCTGCTGCCAGAAGTGTGAGGCGCGAAAAAGGAAAGGAAGTCAGCACCAACTAGCTTTGACCTGTGAGTCTGGAATCAAGGGAAGGCTCTCCAGGTTTTGAGATTCGATTTGACCGAGGCTCTCCTCGAGAGCCCTGGCAGAGCTGGAGCTGATCTTGGCCGAGGACCCACTGTGCTCCGGTGGGGATCCAAGCAAAAAGATGAACGACGAACACACATTGAACACAGCTTGTCAGGGAACTAAGACTGCTGTTGAAAAAAGGGGGGTCAAGAGAAGTGAAGAGGATGTTTATGAGATCCGTTGAAGCCGCAGGCCGGCAGATTGCTGCTCATGACGAAGGTATCCCTCGTGGCCCTGAGGTGCAGCTGTGCAGCCCAACACACCATCAGCCTCCTGCAAGATGCATTCGGCTCTGGCATTGAGGCAGAAGCCGCTCCGGAAGCTGCAGGAGTGGGTGAAGGAGTGGGTGCAGGAGTGGGGCCTCGCGCTCCGCGGCTGCGAGGTGCGAGTTTGCAAGGGGTATCCGACCGGCTATCCACATGACACAGCGGCACAGGGAGACAAGAGCCGCTGTCCTCATGCTCTCAAAAGCGGCTCGCATTCTGCCCCAGACTTCGACGGCATCTGCTTGAAGCTGCAGACGCTGGAGCTCACCACGCTGGGGGCACGCAAGATCAGGCACGAATTGGGGGGATGCATGTGGCGTCATCAAGGCCGATGCAAATAGTAGTGCTCAGGGGCGCAGAATCTGTTTGGCTGCAGTGTGCCCTTGACCTGGGCCAGCAGCCTCAGAGCAGAAAGGCCTCTAGGAAGCCGCCAGCATTGAGAAATCCAGAGAAGTCAGTGAGGTGACGGCCTGAAGGACATCTTGATCTCCTGTCCAAGTGCAGGCCATGATAACGAGTGATCTAGCGTGCTGCCAAGCGCTAAAAAAATGTCCAGGGTCATTCGGATTGTTCAGGTGGTCGCCTCCTGACCATTCAGCACACCTCTTTTCACAGCAAAGCTGCGTTGGCCACCAAGTGACCACCAAGCGACGAATCCTTGAGTGCAATGCAGAAGGCATCGCGTTCGCACGACTCGCGACTGGAAGAGACCCAGATCCAGGTCGGCAGAGCTTCGCTCGTTGGCGAGCCTTCCGCGGGAGACTGGGCATATTGGAATGCCGGCACCTTGTTATTCGAAGTTCGTTGTACTCTGAGGTTGCAGCTTAAGCTGCTGCTCGGCAAAGGCGAGCGCGAAGGCGATGGCACATCTCCCCTGCTTGTTTGTAAGTGTAGAGAGTGCGCAGCTTTTGAGTGGGCACAATGCAGGTAGAACGAATGCCAAGAGGAGCACCCCATCGCAATCGGGGCCGCAGCCGCTGCAGCCGGTTGCCCAGGCCTGGCCGATGGAGTACCGTCAAAATAGTTGCCGACGTGCAAAAGACATGAAGCATCGGATTTATATGTGTGTGTGTGGAGTTCGGAGTTCGTACGTCGTAGCCGCGCAGGAACTTCAGAAAATAAGCCTGACAATGCAGAACCCCTCGCGTGATGGGCTGAAGAAAGGAGGCAGAACACCACATTGAAACCCATGGCGACCTGCCACCTGGGCATGATGACCACACAGCGGCAGAGCACATCATGTGATGCAGGTCAAAGACATCCCCTTGGCTCGACGTAGAATCCGTAGAATTCAGGCACTCCTGCGCAACTGCGCATCTTAAGCGTGTTTCTTTGAGTTTTTTGCTTGTCATATTGACCATCGTGTGATCCCACCCTTCTTTCAATGCCCCCCCTTAAGGTGTGGGGAAGGACAGGTCTATATTCTTTACAAGCCTCTTGTGCCCACACTGGAATGATACCGGCATGAACATCGATGAGCTTTGAGCTGAAGGCATTCTCTCCATACTGTTGATTCATAAAATGGTGAATCCTCCCCCCCACATGGGTCTTCCATTGCCAAGGCCGAGCTGCTGTGGTTTGCGGCTTCAGCCTTACTTGGCCCTTTTCTCTCCATGTTGCCAAGTGCAAAGTTGATTCAAGGCCTTGCTCGAGCCGGGGAGCATCTGTCCCTTCACTGCAGAGCTCACCGAGCTAGATGGACAGGGGGACTCCGAGATTTCCGCGATCGCGGCGTGTGCGCGCGCAGGGAACGCTGCGTTGGGGAGTTGTGGGGCAGGACCCAAAGGCACGGTGCTGGGCCGCCTGCAGCTCTCCGTGGAGCTAACTGCGACGAGAGGCATTGGGGTGGTGGGTGCGGGGAGATCGAAAACATGCAGTATCTGTTAAGCGGGGCCAGATGAGTGCATACAAAAGAAGACATACAAAGGTCTCTTGTGGTCTGGCTAAACTGTCGTGGAGGTGAGGACTGCCGGCCCGCCGCCGACGAGTGCCGGGCACTTGGGAGGTGCGATGCTGGGTGCGCTGGCTTGGGCTGTGTGAACTGCTGAGGCGGTATCCACATCAGACTTTGGCTTGGCTCGTTTACTCCCATGATGAACTCTTCGGAGATCTCGGAGATCTCGGAGATCTCGGAGATCTCGGAGATCTCGGAGATCTCGGAGCTGCGTGCTGTGCTGAAACTTGGACAGATACAAGAGGTCAGCATGCACGCCGACCGCGCCAACGACATTCTGGTTTTCGGTCGATCTGCTGTGTCGGCATCAAGCATTTGGCAGGCTCAGGTGGAGACCTTCGATTGCAAGGGACCGACTCCAAGATGTATGTTCGTGCAACTGTGGACTGGGGCAGAGCTGCGTGGGCTTGCAAAGCTGCTACTCGAACCTTTTCAGAAGGAATCAGTTCAGGATATGATAAGCCTGAAGGGGCACAAGAAGATTTTTGACGGCGAGCTGGACGTCTTTGCTGTCATAAGCGATCAAAGCATTGGAAAGCTTCAAGTCTGTGCTCATGCCGGCTTGGCTCCGGTACTTCTCCAACTCTGCGATGCCCCGCAGGAGGATTTGCAGGGGACCACAGCAGACACAGCAGCCACGGCGGCCTTGATGTCGTTGGCATGTCAGAATGCTGACAAGGTCTGTGAGAGCAGACAAAGCCAGCAAGACCAGCTCTCAGACCTATCAGAGGCCCTCGCAGAGGCCCTCCAAGCTGCAGAGCCGCTTCTGACTTTGGCCGAAGGTCGCGCAGTGGTTCGCCATCTCCGCAAAGAGCGAGGGATGCGAGGGCACAACCGTGACAGAGGAGCTGAAACCTCTGCACTTTTGGAGCAGCTTCGGTCACGGCTCCTCACCATTCAGGAGAGCTTTGATCAGATGATTCGTGAACTTGGCGAAGCGTCCGGCGCCCTGGCCTTGGATTTTTTGGAAGTCGGCACTCCGGCGTGGCTGCAAAGACAGGATGTGGCCAGAGCTCTGAAGTTTCGGGGCTTGGACGTAAGCTGGGGCTGCTTAGAGGCCGTGTTCCTGGCCCTTGGCTGCTCGAAGGCCGCTGATGCGTTGGCGGCGGAGAACTTCGCCCGGCTTTTCCGCTGTCGGGCCGAGCTCGCGAAGCTGCGCCGTGCCCGGCTTCGGAGCATGGAGGCTCCTTGCGCGCGCAGGGAATTCTAAGATGCATCCAAAAGATTCGATGATAGGGTTCTAAGATATTCTTCTAAGTTCATGGATGAATGCGCCTCAAAAGCCTTGGTGTCGGAAGTGTTGGTTCATGTTTGCTTCGCCAGGCAGAGGCTTTGGCCGAGCTTAGAACTTCGTCCCGGCGGGAGCTTGAGGAGCTCGTGCAGAGGTATTCCAGGTCGGATGGAACAGTGGACCATCTGGGCTTGGCAGTGCTGCTCGGAGCTAATGAGCATCGCTTTCAGCGGACAGACGTGGATGAGTTGGTGCAGTTGCTATTTGAGAGGTTTGGAGTAAAACCCGGAGGCAGTGTTCCATCAACCCGGGTGGTTCAGTGGCTTGTGGGCTCGACACCCCAGTCAGCCCAGCTAGCCCAGTCCTCTTTGCGAGACGTTGACTTGAACCTCAGCTCGGCTTCGGGTTCACAGTTGCAACAGCAGCTTCTCGTCAAGTTGGCCGCAAGACTGCCCGCACAGGAGTTTTCTCAAGTGCCAGAACCTCAGCCCCAGCAAGAGACCGTCCGCACAGCTTCTCCTGTGACTCCTTTGGGGCCGCCGCTCCAAAGTGTCGGCACTGGTGACCCTGCTTCTGCTCTGTTCGACATCGCGCACATCGCGCGAACCGGCGAGGCCAACAACGACGGCCCACGCGATGGACCACTGGCACAGCCTGTACAGCCTGTACAGGCAACGCTGCAATTGGCGCGGCCGTTGCGAGGCGGCCTGGAGCGGCAGCTTTCAGAAGTGCTCGCCACCTCATTGGGCCTGGAGGCAGCAAGGCTTCGGATACTTGGAGCTGACGATGGTGCCTCGCGCATTTGCTTGCAAGTGCGACCTGCGAAGTCTGCTGGATCTCGGGGAGTTTCGTCCCAAGACGTCATTGCCGAGCTAGTCAGGCAACTGGGCGATCCAGCCTCGCCACTTGCAGCCGTGCCCTCAGCTGAAAACGACTGCAGTCGCGTATGTCCACTTGCACCTTGTGTCGATCATGTGTAAGTAGCCTAGGCTAGCCCACTGGGCACTTACTTCTGCTGATGTGCACTACCGGCACTACCGGCACTACCGGCCCTACCGGGTAACGCTGCTGGAGGAGCAAAAACGGGCCTTGGACCCCGCCCTAGCGGCCCTGCTGTGCTCCTGCCTGACATTGCAGCCCTTGGATCGCTGGAATAGAGGGCGATTGGAGCCAAATCTGGAGCAGTTGGAGAAAGATGAAAACTGTGGGTGCCGAGAGAGCTTTGGATCTCCTGGACACGAGAATGTAGATGGAGGTGCGATGGAGGTCAAAGAGGGCTTCGGGCTTCATTTGTAGATGGTTCCTACAGAGACGAGAACAATACGGGAACGAAGGCGCATGGCAAAGCTTGGCAGGAGCGCTTCGAGGCCGGTGCGCGAAAGTGGTGTGCACCAGTTACTGTACTCTGTACTAGCAGTATAGTTACAGTTGCTAACAGTTATTGAGGCGCCACAGTTTGCTGGCATTCTAAGTTTCCACACGCTTCACTTGCATGAGCAGGAGTGCTGGATTTGCGCCGCCCTCTGAAATAGGCATGGCACCGGACAGACTTTGTCCAGCAGGAGTGCTGGATCTTGTCCTTTTTGCCCGAAGACGGGGGGTCAGAAGACGCAGCTGGCAGCCACAGTGCGTTTGACATGGACTCACAGAATCCAAAGGATGTTTCAATGCCACACGCTGACGCCGGAGGAACAATCTCCACGTTTGAGTGCTTTAAGACCGGGCAGCGCTGCTCGAGAACCAAAAGAACCGAGGGGGGCCATCGCGGCTCACGCAAGCGTTGTGACAATCGGCAAAGCTGTTCGAGGCAACTCTCAGTATCCCTGTCAATCGCTTGCACTCCCAGTTTCGTTCGTTGCGAAAAAGTCCGTCCATGAGCAGTATCACGGTTGTCATCATCCTCATCATCAGCAGGAGCATCAGCATCAGTGCATGGTTTTTACATTCTAAAGAGAATATCTGCACTGACAGGGAAGATCCCTGCGCGATCTTGGCCAAGAGAAGCAGCTTCGAGCGGCCGGGAACTTCGCGCTGTCTCGACAGCATTGTTTGAAACATGGAGGTTGCTCCACGCCACAAGCCGATCACATAAAGCGTATAAACTCAGTCTAGGTCGACTTGCGACAAAGAGCCCGCAAGCACTCCGCTTCCTGCATCTCGTCCGCCTTCACGCGCAACGAGCGCCGCCTGCTGTTCGCGCGGCGGCCGCTGGAGGCTGGTTCAGACGATGGCAAGGCATCATCTCCGTCGCAGTCCAGCAGACCGTTGCAGGCACGGCCCTAGGTCCGCTTGGTCGGTGTTGCAAGCTGGACCGGGCCACAGCCTGGGCAGGGTGCTGCAATGTGCTGGACCTCGCCGAAAGCGGGGCGAGTCGACTCCCGCTTCGGCCGTAGGAGCCTGAAAGCCGTAGGTAGTTGGTGTGAAAGGGCACTGGCAGTAACACCAAAGCCAGCAGGACAAAGTGCGACAAAAAAAACCGTTCGGCCCCCCTGGCGAGGCAGTCCTGGGTCCTAGCTTTCCTTGACGAGACATATGTCGTTTCAAGTCCGGAGCGGCCCGGGTGTGCTGTGCGATGCCCTGTCGGCTGCTCTGTGCAAGTCCTGTGCCACCATGACAGGGTGTGCCTGAAGCAGGGCGAGACGCGGGTATGGAACGCAGCCGAGGAAGATGCGAATTTCTGCCCGCGTCGCCACGGCCGTGGACATCGCCGAGGCCCATGATGCGGCAGTCACCCGCCTGGCGGGCGTGAGGTAGGTAAAGGGGAGGTCTTCCTGTGCCACCGCATGCAACGCGATCGGCCCAAACTCCATCAAACTCCTTCGTGGCCATCCTTGATCGTGACCTCCTCCTCATCAAGGTCGCGGACCGCCGGCGATTGGACCAGCACTCGCATCATCCCGTGGCAAGAAGGGCCAAAGCTTACGAACATCCGAAAGCTCGACGAAGCTAAGCGTGGGTCCCGCCAGGCGGTGGCAACAAACGGCCCGCAAGTGGTGTGGCTCCGCGGGCTCCACCGCGTTTGCAGCGGAGAAGGTTCTGGTCGCGTAATCCTCGACGGTCGCATGGGTCGTTTGGTGGCTCATATCCGGTCATTGGGGAGTGGTGGCAGCGCGCCGTTGACGCCTTATTGCCAGCACGCCCGTTTCTGCCCGTGCAAAATTTCTCTCGTGCGGTTACGCATGTCGGGTGCGCGTTTGGCCCACCCGTGCTCCTCTCTCCTTCACTGCTTCGCTTCCGCGAATGCGCAGGGCAACGTCATGGGCAGGTCACCTCGCTCGCGGACGTTGTCGGGACACTACCTCGACGCGCCTTCAGGAAACGCTGCTCACTGTGCTCCTGGGAACACCAGCTATCGCCGCCCTTATGCAATGGGTCGACGGCCTTTGGCACTCACCCTCCAATGCTGCCGCTCCCGGGCAGACGCTGATGATGAGCGTGCGCCTGAGCCGTGCGCCGCCGATGCCGATGCTGAGGCGATCCCGAGCGGCACCGCCGCGATACGGGACCGGGAGGCCATCTCTGCGTATCGACGATCCGTTGCGTCGAGACAAGTCGTGAGGGTCGGGCCCTTCTCTTCCGCCAAGTGCACTCGGTCAGCCTGCACGGCCACCTCAGCGCAGTACCCTCCGACACGAGGCAGCCCGCGATCCCGGCTGACTCGGAGGCTCGCGCTGCTGCGGCCTGTACCCGGGTTTGGCAGCGGGGCTTTTCCGAGCGCGCCAAGTCCTCACTGCGGCCGCGCTGGCGCCCGGCGATGTAGCCACACTCCGAGCAGTCACCGCTACAGCCGCGGGGACCGGTCCCGCAGCAAGTGATGAACCATCACCCTGCAGAGGAGGCTGCGCTCTCCAAGCAACAAGTCGCCGACGTGCTGCGCACCTCCAGGTCGGCTGCTGGCCTGTCGGGCGCCACCGTCGAATTGTGCCAACGCTTCCTCGACGTCGCCCAGCAGCTCCTGCGGGAGGCAATGCCGGCGCCGCGCCGCCCTGTGCGCTCGACGTGGCTGGTTGGGGTGAGCAGCCTCGCTGGGCGGCATGTGCCGACGGGGACTACAGTCCTTGCATCCCCTCAGTTTGCGGGGGGTCTTAAATGGTGACCCTTCGGTGTCCGGGAACCAGGGGTCTGAAATGGGTCCAGAGGCATTTTAGACCCTTCCCGGCTTGCCATTGCAGACCTGTCGGTGTCGCGCTCTTTGGGCCCGGCTGTGGGTTGTCTTAGCCATGTTGCAGATGCAGTCCATAGCCAACAAAAGGTCTAAAATGGTTTGCCCGGGTTATGCCCAGTCCCTGGGAAATAGCACAGTTGGGGCCAACAAAAGGTCTAAAATGGGCGCCCTAGGCCCCTCCCCTGACAACCTGAGGGGATGTCCTTGCAGGACGAGGGACAACGGTGGGTGTTGCGAGCTAATTAATTTGCGAGGCCGTGCGTGGCAAACTGTACAAAATCATGTCTTGTTGATGGCCATCTTGGCACATGAGCTACATCAGACCACACACTACATCCAGGGAACTGCGACATTACAAATTTTTTCAACTCATCATCCCATCGCTTGGGGGGCGACCAGGTCGTCTCGGCACACTATTGAAAGTGTGCTGGGGTGGGGGACTCCAGCTTGCCGCGCGCAATGGCCAGGCATTCTTCGCAGTCAGGTTCATCACGAACCTATGCTGGTTAGCACGATGAGCATTGGACCACGACGGCACAGGATGTTGCTTGAGAGCAGACGATACCCGAACGTTCATCGTCTCCTCCCAAGTTGCATTTGCGTCGCGTTTCCATCCAACACTGCTTCGTAACATAGTGAGACCTGCAGGCCGATAGGCAGCCCTCTGGGGCGCAGGCAAACAGTCAACACAGCAATGACACTCGCTTGTCAAAGCTGCCAGAACAATGCTTCGTAACATATGTAGCATTTGTCGCTGGCATTTATCAAGTTGTTCCAGCTGTCGTGTCGTCAGTGCCATTGCATAAAGTCTGGACAGTGCCGTGCAGTAGGAGTTGCCAGATGCGCGAGTTCTCTTCCGCCCTCAGTTTGGGCAACATGCGGGCATGTGGCTCGCCGCTATACCGGCTGAGTACACAGGGGCTTGTCCGAAGCCCGAAGTAGTTGCAAGCTCGTCTTTGCAATGCTGCAGTGAGGCAGAACTGCGCCGTAAACGTTGGGCTGTCTCACTGCCTTTTCTCATCTCGTACTTTGCTGGTCCTGTGCCCCACTGCCTTGCCAAGATTTTTGCGTTTCAGGCTTGATGCACATCGCGCTGTGGCGACGCCTCCGCCTGCCGCTGCCATTGACCGCCCTGCATTGCGGCGGCGACAGAGCAGGACAGGCCGACGCATCAGGTGACCACTTCGTCGCCCTCACCACCCGGCGTGGCCGCGTACACCACCAAGTCGATGCGATCAGCAGGCGCAAGGCCAGGCGCCAGGTCCGGGCGGCCTTCTGTCCCGACCACCTCGCACGCAACTTGCACCCACGTGTGCGCAAGGACAAAGCCGCGACGCGGCAGTAAACCAGCACGCGGGCAGCGTTCTGTTGTGACGCGAAGCTATGCGACGCTAGTCCCGCCCCTGACACGAGCAGGTCGCCAAGTCCCGTGATGGGAGCGTGTTGGCGGCCGTGCGCCGCCACAAGCGAGATATCCCACGCTCCTGCGGGGAGGTCCGCAACGGTTCGTCGTTCTCGCGGCGGAAGTAGGCGGACGATGGGCGAGGGGCTTCGTGCGCGCCTGCAACCCTACGTGCCTCCGCGGCCCAAGGGTGGGAACGGCGATGGTGGGGCCTGCTCTCGGTCGCCGGGCAAAGGCAGTTGCCACCAGACCTTCAGCCCTCGGTGTGCGCACGATGCCGGCACAGGCCGGGGTACCCCCCGCTGATGTCCTTGAGTTCCGGCGCTCTGCAGCGGCTTCCGTCAGCTTCCCTGGATGCGTCAGCGTGCGTGGGCCTTTCCATGCCTTTCCCATGACCACCTTTGCGCGCGCTGGTGCGGGCATTGGCAACTCTCCCATGGCACCGGACTGTC